AAGACTTTCCAAGATTCCTTGAGGGGAAAAGGAGGGTAGTGTGGAGCATGCTATGAGCCTGGGCCCTTGGGGTAAGACTGGCCAGGAAATTAATAGCAGACAGGAGGCACAGGATGCAGTGCAGCAGGTCAGGGGTATGATGAGAGCCTGAATGCAGAGACTGAGGTCCATGGTCCAGGTTTATTAGACAATAAGAACTATTGCAAGAAATTTGGAGAGAAAAACTAGCAATCATTAAACAGAGTTCTGTGAAGGCAGTTTTGGCAGCAATACTAAGGCACTTCAGTAAGATTCTACTAAGGTCCCAGACCCCAAGAAGTGCAATAAAATAAAAGTGTAATAGTCAAGGTAGAAAGTAACAACTGGTTTTTAATAAAAGCAAAAGCAAGGCAACTGGAGATATGATGCCTTGCAACTTCATGAGTGGTCGCTCTGCAAAAAAAGAATATTTGGAGGGAGAGATAAATGGCTGTGGCATTTCAGTTGTGAAGGAATATTTAGCTCCAAATGTCTTCCACAATGACAGGACATAATATATGAAATTCAATGAAAGGCAATTTGGGAGGAATATATGAAATTCAATGGAAGGCAATCTGGTGTTCCTTCCTTAAAGTGGTTTTTTATTTGGGGTGGCATGGCTGGAAGGTATGGGGAACAGGAATTTTAGTAGTAGAGAGCATCTTTTGTGGACATATTTTGAATGGCTTAGAACACTAATATCAGGTAACTATGCAGAATATTTCACTACCATTTACAAAATACAGTTGCAACCCTGCCACTTTTCTAACATCTGACCCACACAGTTATTAGAACTTTTATCAGTCTATCTCAGCATCCCAAGGTTATCTTCACGGTAACATTCGTCTTTAAAGGCACACAATTCTTGGTGGTATCTGTCCCTTTTCTTTCTTTATCCTTCCACTCCTCTCTCAACATGCATATTCACTATATATCAGCTTCTCTTTTTTAATTTTTTTATTGATTTTTTTACAGAGAGTTAGAAACATCTATGAGAGAGAAACATCGATCAGCTGCTTCCTGCACAGCTCCTACTGGGAATGTGCCCACAACCAAGGTACATGCCCTTGTCCGGAATCGAACCTGGGACCTTTCAGTACACAGGCCAACACTCTATCCACTGAGCCAAACCAGTTAGGGGCTATGTCAGCTTTTCTTCCCAGAAGATCAACTAAAAGCTTAGTGGGACAAATTTATGCAGCACTATCCACATTTATAGATGTACCCATAAAATATTCTAGCAATCACAAAATAAATGCATAAGACACTCTTTGGAAAATGATAATTCTTATAAAACTTGCTAAAACCCTAAGTTCATGTGTGTATAGTTCTCAGGCTCCTCTGGTGTTCAGAGGCAGATCCTCATTTCCAAGGGAAATGATGCATTTCATTGATATCTCCTGGATTGCCTATGTCTTTCTGTGAGTCTGTCTTTGATTTCATGCCAGAGAGCTGAAAAACTGCCACTTTTCCCCTGAATTCCTGCCCCCATGCCTAATCTGTTTTTCTCTTTAATACATTTTATTCTCCCTTCTAGAGAAAAATGAGATATTTAAATACTCTCCTTATTAAAGAGCACACCAACTTTTTGGAATCCTATATAATAAAAGGCTAACATGCAAATCGACTAAACAGTGGAACAACCGGTCAATATGATGTCCACTGACCACCAGGGGGCAGATGCTCAAAGCAGGAGCTTCCCCCTGGTGGCTAGTGCACTCCCACTGGGGAAGCGCCTCTCAGTCAAAAGCCAGGCTCGGAGTGCAGCGGTGGTGGCGGGAGCCTCTCGCCTCCATGGCAGCACTAAGGATATTCAACTGCTGGCTTAGGCCTGCTCCCTGCAGGGAGCCGACCCAAGCCATCAGTCAGACATCCTCTGAGGGCTCCCAGACTGCAAGAGAACCTCAGGCCAGGCTGAGGGAACACCCCCACCCTGGAGTGCACAAATTTCGTGCACCAGGCCTCTAGTTTATATATAAACTCATACCCTATTAAATGCCTGCTGGTAACTTGTAATGGGTTAGTAGACTTGTTAGAACTCTCCTCAATATTCCACCCCTTTCACCTACCCTCATGTTGTCAAGGTAGTTAAGAAGACACACTTAGGTATTCTGACTCTTTGGGTTGGATTCCCAGCTGTATTTCTCACCAGCTGGGTGGCCTGTCCAAGTGACTTAACCTCTTTATACCTCAGTTCTCTCATTTATTCAGTTAACAGCAATAGCCTTTTGGCCCTCAAATGAAAACCATGAGGTCCTCTATTTGTTCAACCTGAACTTCCGCACACTATGATAAAAAGAGTTGATAGGTGTTCCCAAAGAAAAATATAGACTGAAACACAATTACTGTGGCAGAGAGTGGAAGTACCTGAGCCTAATGAATATAAGGAAGGTGGGCTCTGAGGCCCTAGATATGAAGAGTGCAATGCCTAGCTGGAGGATCCTCTATTATGGGGATCTCAAAGGCACTGGAGAGAGGAAGGCATTGGAGTAGAGGAGACCAGAGAGCAAGCAGAGAAAGAGTCCAAGTGTGGGCTCTTAAGTCAACAGGCTGCCCAGGAAGTGGAAATCAGGTGCTATTGCAATAGGCAGACAAACAGGAAGCTTAGGTTACCTTCGGAGAAGCTCAAGAGGCACTGGCCAGAGCTGAGCTGGCAAAATGGGATAGGTGAGAAGTTACTTAACTAACTGAGACAAGCCAAACAAGCATGATGGCTCATCCCAGCTGATTAAACATGAAGTCCCAGGACATTGGACAAGAAAGTTGGTGATGAGAGAGGGAGAACAGTCTTTCCTGAAATAAGGGGACCAATCTACAGGGCCCTAGCATTTTCACTGAGTATTCATCTTAGATATTCCTCACTTGGGTTACTTTGGGAATTTTAGAGAATTCTTATTTTTTTATATCCTTGGAAGAAATATCAAACAGATTGGATTTTAGTGGTGATTTTGTAAAAAAAAAAATCTTTAAATTATGAAGAAATATAAAATCAGTTACATAATATTATGATTTCATATTAAATTCTGGGTGTTTTTATTCACAGATTTAGTAACTTTGTTGTTTTATAAATATTAATTGCCTGCATCTACTATACATATTACTAACTTCTCAAGTTTTTAAATCATGAAATAATGGACATCAATAGTTGCAGAGCTTTTTACTCCATGATATGAGCATGTAGACATTAACTCTTTTCAGAGTATGTGTCCTGTATAACAAAGCATATGCTTGTTTCCACCTAAGTATTACTGTAAAATAGAAAACTACGGAAGTCAACTAATTCTGACATTGAAAATTCAAAAATATCTCTAAAATAATTCTTAAAACTTTTGACATAAGGGTCAAGAGAATCACCCATATGGTGTAATATTTATACTTCTGTAAAATACAACTCAAATACAAAACATCACTTTTTTCAACAACAAAGAGCTTATGTGTTTATTGTACTGAAGCAAAATAGATGGTGTGACATATTTCTATAGTTACCACATAATAAAAATTTCAACTAATCATGAAGATGTAAGTCCAAACTGTATAACACAGCCATTGTAAGTAATTCATAGATTTCAGTTAAATATTGATGGCAGTGTTTATGTAAAATACAAATTAATTGATAAAATTCGCTTTTATAAAATCAATAATCAAAACAGTCACATGTGCAGGATAAACACAACCAAATACACTCAGAAAAATACTACTTCTCTCTGTTTTCTCATACAATATGCGTACTCTGTGTGATAAACTAAAACAGACTTTTAAAAATTATACAACAATGCAGTCTGTATTAACTAGTGTTGATAAAATATTAAATTTGGAGTTTTATGGTTTTAATAAATGGAAAAAGAAAGTTGATTTTAAGAACCTTGTTGAAATTAACATGACTTCTCAATAGAATTTTTTTATTAATCAGCATTTCTTCAAACTCATACGAGTTTAACTAAGTTTATGGGAACGCCTATTCACAAATTTTTCTTACTCGTGTGATGTAAAAGAGCAAGTTATATTGCTTATAAGTTAAGCCATATTCAAACTGAGCTTAGATATTTAAAAAAATTAACAGATGAATGTACAAATATAAAAGCTGTCACAGTTTAATGTGCCCTACTGTTTTATTAAAGGGGCTTTGATTGATTTATCTGTAAATATTAACTTAATGGGAGGTTCTCTTACATTGACCGCCTGAGAGTCGCGCTGTAAAAAACAACAACCTCTCCTCTTCCTCTTTGCCATCTACTTGGTAGCCTCAAAGCAGCAACCATATGTGAGAGCATCTCCATCCATGTGAGCCACGCTGGTATCCAGATCGACAATGCCTGCTGGGAGCTCTACTGTCTGGAACACAGCATCCAGCCCGATGGCCAGATGCCAAGTGACATGACCATTGGTGGGGAGATGACTCCTTCAACACCTTCTTCAGTGAGACAGGCGCTGGCAAGCATGTGCCCAGAGCATTGTTTGTAGACCTGGAGCCCACAGTCATTGATGAAGTTCGCACTGGTACCTACCGCCAGCTTTCCACCCTGAGCTGCTGATTACAGGCAAGGAAGATGCTACCAATAACTATGCCCGTGGACACTACACCACTGGCAAGGAGATCATTGACCTCATCCTGCATTGAATTCGGAAACTGGCTGACCAGTGCACAGCCCTTCAGGGCTTCTTGGTTTTCCACAGCTTTGGTGGGGGAACTGGTTTTGGGTTTACCTCTCTGCTGATGGAACGTTTCTCTGTCGATTATGGCAAGAAGTCCAAGCTGGAGTTCTCCATTTATCCAGCCCCCCAGGTCTCCACAGTTGTAGTTGAGCCCTACAACTCCATCCTCACCACCCACACCACCCTGGAACACTCATTGTGCCTTCATGGTTGACAACAAGGCCATCCATGACATCTGTCGTAGAAACCTCACTGAGTTCCAGACCAACCTGGTGCCCTATCCCCGCATCCACTTCCCTCTGGCCACATATGCCCCTGTCATCTCTGCTGAGAAAGCCTACCATGAACAGCTTTCTGTAGCAGAAATCACCAATGAGTGCTTTGAGCCAGGCAACTAGATGGTGAAATGTGACCCTTGCCATGGTAAATACATGGCTTGTTGTCTGTTGTACCATGGTGACGTGGTCCCCAAAGATGTCAATGCTGCCATTGCCACCATCAAGACCAGGTGTACTATCCAGTTTGTGGACTGGTGCCCCACTGGCTTCAAAGTTGGCATTAATTACCAGCCTCCCACTGTGGTACCTGGTGGAGACATGACCAAAGTACAGCAATCTGTGTGCATGCTGAGCAACACCATAGCTATTGCTGAGGCCTGGGCTCACCTGGACCACAGGTTTGACTTGATGATTGCCAAGTGTGCCTTTGTCCACTGGTAAGTAGGTGAGGGCATGGAGGAAAGAGAGTTTTATGAGGCCAGTGAGGACATGACTGCCCTTGAGAAGGATTATGAGGAAGTTGGTGTGGATTCTGTTGAAGGAGAGGGTGAGGAAGAAGGAGAGGAATACTAAATTTAAAATGTCACAACAGTGATGCTTTTACAGGGAAACTTATTGTGGTTTTTTTTTAAAAAAAATTTGTTTTATTGCTTAAAGTATTACAAAGAGTATTATATATGTCTCCCCCCCCACCCCGCCCGGCATTCAATAAATTAGCTTTTTAGAGTAGCTGGTATTAAGGTGTAATTCAGTTGAAGGTAATGATCTGGCAAAAATGAAAGCATCAGTTAGGCTACAGAAAATCACTGGCAGTAAAAATTTTGTTTCTTTCCGCCACTCTGTGTTATCCAGATAATTAAAATGAAACATTTAAACATTTAAAATTGTAATTTAAAGTTACCTGGTGTCAGGAAAGGCTAAAAAAATTGGGAGGACTCATCTGTATTTGAAGGACACTAAAGACATGACAATTAAGTGCAATGCCTGGCTCTTGCTTGAATTGTGGATCAATTGTGGAAAAGGATGTTTGTTACTAGGACAATTGGGGAGATATGAAGCTAGATAATATATTAGATGATAATGTTATTAAGGTTTAGCATGCTCATTTCTTGAGCATGTTAAATCTGTTGTGGTTATTTATATAAGAGAATGTCCTAGATCTGGAAATAGATGCAGAAATATTAGGAGTTTTAAATGGTTTAGAAAAGTTATATGTACACACATTTGCTTTATCTCATATATACACAGTTGATGAATACAGGTGAAGTTATGTGAGTGTTCACTGTATTTTAATTTTTCCTACTCTTGACAAAATTAAAAATTGAGAAGATGGGGGGGGAGTTG